GTTCAACATTCGCAAATCAATCAATGTGATAGAACACATTAATAAGAGGAGGGAAAAGAATCATATGGTCCTCTCAATTGATGCAGAAAAAGCATTTGACAAAATACAACATCCTCTCCTGATTAAAACTCTTCAGAGTATAGGGATAGAGGGAACATTCCTCAAGTTCATAAAATCCATCTATGAAAAACCCACAGCGAATATCATCCTCAATGGGGAAAGGCTGAGACCCTTTCCTTTAAGATCAGGAACATGTCAAGGGTGCCCACTGTTGCCGCTGTTGTTCAACATAATACTAGAAGTCCTAGCAACAGCAATCAGACAAGAAAAAGAAATAAAAGCTATTGAAATTGGTAAAGAAGAAGTCAAACTCTCTTTTCGCAGATGACATGATAATTTATGTGGAAAACCCAAAAGACTCCACCCCCAAATTACTAGAACTCATGCAGCAATTCAGTAATGTGGCAGGATACAAAATCAATGCAGAGAAATCAGTTGCTTTCTTATAGACTAACAATGCAACTGTAGAAAGAGAAATTAGAGAAAAGATTCCATTTACAATAGGACCAAAAACCATAAGATACCTCAGAATAAACCTAACCAAAGAGGTAAAGGATCTATACTCTAGGAACTGCAGAGCACTCATTAAAGAAATTGAAGAAGACACAAAAAGATGGAAAAATATTCCATGCTCATGGATCTGAAGAATTAACATTGTTAAAATGTCTATGCTACCCAGAGCAATCTATACCTTCCATGCTATCCTGATCAAAATTCCAAGGACATTTTTCAAAGTGCTGGAACAAACGATACTGAAATTTGTATGGAATGAGAAAAGACCCCAAGTCGCCAAAGAAATGTTGAAAAAGAAAAACAAAGCTGGGGGCATCGCCTTGCCCAATTTCAAGCTCTATTAGAAAGCTTGGTGATCACTAAGACAGCATGGTAGTGGCACAAAAACAGACATATAGACCAATGGAACAGAATAGAGAACCCAGATATGGACCCTCAACTCTATCGTCAAATAATCTTCGACAATGCAGGAAAAAGTATGCAATGGAAAAAAAGACAGTCTCTTCAATAAATGGTGCTGGGAAAATTGGACAGCCACATGCAGAAGAATGAAACTCGACCATTCTCTAACACCATTCACAAAGATAAACTCAAAGTGGATGAAAGACCTCAATGTGAGACAGGAAGCCATCAAAATCCTAGAGGAGAACATAGGCAGTCACCTCTTTGACATCGGCCACAGGAACTTCTTTCAAGATACATCTCCAAAAGCTAGTGAAACAAAAGGAAAAATGAACATTTGCGTCTTCATCAAGATAAAAAGCTTCTGCACAGCAAAGGAAACAGTCAACAAAACAAAGAGGCAACCCACAGAATGGGAGAAGTTATTTGCAAATGACACTACAGATAAAGGGCTGGTATCCAAGATCTATAAAGAACTTCTCAACCTCAACACCCAAAAAACAAATAATCAAGTCAAAAAGTGGGCAGAAGATATGAAAAGATACTTCTCTGAAGAAGACATACAAATGGCTAACAGACACATGAAAAAATGTTCATCATCATTAGCCATCAGGGAAATCCAAATCAAAACCACATTGAGATACCACCTTACACCAGTTAGAATGGCAAAAATGGACTGGGCAAGAAACAACAAATGTTGGAGAGGTTGTGGAGAAAGGGGAACCCTCTTACACTGTTGTTGGGAATGCAAGTTGGTACAGCCACTTTGGAAAACAGTGTGGAGGTTCCTCCAAAATTTAAAAATAGAGCTACCCCGTGACCCAGTAATTGCACTCCTGGGTATTTACCCCAAAGACACAGATGTAGTGAAAAAAGGGCCATGTGCACCCCAATGTTCATAGCAGCAATGTCTGCAATAGCCAAACTGTGGAAATAGTCGAGATGCCCTTCAGCAGTTGAATGGATAAATATGTGGTCCATATATACAATGGAGTATTACTCAGCCATCAGAAAAGATGAATACCCAACTTTTACATCAACATGGATGGGACTGGAGGAGATTATGCTAAGTGAAATAAGTCAAGCAGAGAAAGTCATTTATCATATGGTTTCACTTTTTTGTGGAACATAAGGAAATAGCATGGAGGACATTAGGAGAAGGAAGGGAAAAATGGGGGGGAATTGGAGGGAGAGATGTACCATGAGAGACTATGGACTCTGAGAAACAAACAGGGTTTTAGAGGGGAGGCGAGAGGAGGAATTGGTTAGCCCGGTGATGGGTATTAAGGAGGGCACGTACTGCATGGAGCCCTGGGTGTTATACGTAAACAATGGATCGTGGATCACCACATCAAAAACCAATGATGTATTGTATGGTGACTAACATAACATAATAAAATTTTAAAAAATAAAAACAAACAAAAAAAACGAAATGGTAGCCTCTGCAATGGGAGAAAATATATGCAAACGACATATCTGATAAAGAGTTGCCATCCCAAATCTATAAAGAACTTTTCAAACTCTACACCCAAAAAACAAATAATCCAGTTAAGAAATGGGCATAAGAAGGTATGCCTGGGTGGCTCAGTCAGTTAGGCTTCTGACCCTTCATTTGGGCTCAGGGCATGATTTCAGGTTTGTGAGATTGAACTTCCTGCTTCCTGCTACAGGTGGAGTCTGCTTGAGATTCTCTGGCTCTGTCTGCCTCTCTCCTCTCTCTCTCACTCTGTCTCTGTCTCTTTCTACCCCCATCCCTCTCTCTCTAAGTAAATAAATAAAAATCTTTAAAAAAAAAATGGGTAGAAAACACAAATAGACACTTTTACAAAGAAGTCATCCAGATCCTAACAAACACATGAAAAAATGCTCAACCTCACTCATGATCAGGGAAATACTAATCAAAACCCCAATGAGATACCATGTCTTGCTTGCAGAATGGCTAAAATTAACACAAGAAACAACAGGTTTAGGTGAGGATGCGGAGAAAGGGGAGTCCTCTTGCACTGTTGGTAGGAATGCAAACTGGTGCACTCACTCTGGAGAACAGTTTGGAGGTTCCTCAAAACATTAAAAATAGAATTATCCCAATATGCATCCATTGCACTACTAGGTATTTACCCAAAGGATACAAAAATATATATTCAAAGGATTATATGCACCCTGGTGTTTTTAGCAACACTATCAACAATAGCCAGATTAAGGAGAGAGCCGAAATGGATGGATAAAGAAGAAGATTTGGTGTGTGTGTGTATATATATATGCAATGGGATATTACTCAGCCATCAAAAAGAATGAAATGTTAGCGTTTGCAATGACGTGAATGCAGCTTATATGTATTATGCTAAGTGAAATAAGTCAATCAGAGAAAGACAAATTCCATATAATTTTATTCATATGTAGAATTTAAGAAAGAAAACATATGAGCATGTGGGAATGGGGAAAAGAAAAAAGAGAGAGGGAAACAAGCTGTAAGATATTCTTAATGATAGAGAACAACCTGAGGGTTGATGAAGGGAATAGAGTGGGGGATGGGCTATATGGGTGATGGGTATTAAAGAGGGCACTCTTTTTGATGAGCACTGAGTGTTGTATGTAAGTGATGAATCATTGAATTCTGGTCCTGAAACCAATATTGTACTTTATGTTAACTAAATTTAAATAAAAATAAAAAACCTGTTTAGTGAACCTTAAAGCCTTCAACAAATCAGTCCGCCATTAAATACACTTTTGCTGAAGCAGCTGTGCAGTTAAACCCATCTTCATTTAACTAGGCCTTACATTTTACTCTGACATATTCTCCCCTCTGTATTAAATTCAGCATTTTTTTTTTATCACAGTAGACATATGTTTATATTCTGAGGACACTCAAACACTATGCTTGAGAAATTACAGCACATCAAGCATTTCTAATTATGCAAGGAAATACCATGGGAGTTTATTTTGTTAAGGGATGTACAGTAGGGAATCAGATTAAAATAAGCAAGTCATCATTCTCCTGTGAGTTGGAATGTTGCTGTCAGAAAAGAAGTCTACTAATAGTTGTGAATGTGTGCATTGCTTAACTGAGAGTACAGTTTCTTTATAAAGTGAATGCTCAGTAATTAAAAAAAAACACAGTATGATCTTAATTGCTAGTTGATATCTGTCAAACATTATTTATTTAGATTATGGAGATCTCACTTGGTGTTTATGTCGAGGTAATCATTTGCCTAGATAGTGAGATTTTGTTTTTCCTTTAGGCACCAGTGAAATCATACAGACCTTTACATGAAAGAAAATTATGAGAATATATTCATGTTCTGGTGATAAGAATACATGAATGTTCATTAAAATGTGTGCTTAGTGGAAGTTGAAGTAGAATGTGTTGTTGAAAAATACTTTTTGAATTAGTTTAAGCTATTCTCAGTGTAATCTGTTGATTTATTTCAGTATGACCTAATACATATCCAATAAAGAAAAAGTTGAGAAGGGAAATTGTGAAAATATAGAGCTACTACTAGTATACCACATGATTTTCAGGAGGAATTCAGATAACACTGATGATTCAGACACTTTAATTTTTTCCTATGTGGGAGAATTGCAAAGTAGATTGATATGATTTTTTTTGTATTTGGTTACTTTATTGTCATCTCTGAGAAGTACTGTGTTTAATGCATCTGAAAATAGCCATATTAAATTCAATGTTGAATTAAAAGGCCAACTTGAAATAAAATCTCTCATGAGTCACGTTGTATCAGCTTTATCTAAAATGCATAAGCATGTAATCATCAGTGCTATTGGTGGTTTTAATTTCTATATATGTATGTACATCATGTAATCATTAGAACCTGAAATAATAGGCCATTTTGCTTAGATGAGTAGTGTAGTCTCTCAAATGGAAACTACTTTTGTTTGTTCCTAACTGTAAATTAATATTGGTGACAAATTTCATATTTTATCTCTATGAAAATGAGAATAAGGTATTTATTAGGCCTTTAAAATTTTGATGCTATTCAATTTTTAATAAAATCTACTTTTATTTTAAGCTATCTTCCTAGGATCATATCGTATGCCATATGAAGATATAAAAAATATTATTCTGGAGGTTAATGAAGACATGCTGAATGAAGCCTTAATTCAGGTAACTTGAATATTTTCCTTTTAAAATTCATTTTCACAGGTATTTCTAGAGTGTTATTTTCTCAATGGAGTTGTAGGAAAATGTTCTTCTATATTTTGGTAATAGAATCAGAACTATCTATCTAGCTTTGTTACCAGTAAGAGTATTCAATATAGAAGGTCTGCGTTCTAGTTTTGTTTCTGTCTATCATTCACTGTACATAAAATTGCATGTATTTCATCATCACAAGAACTCTGTTAAGTAAATGTTGTTATTACAATTTTATGGATGTAATAGTGGGGAGGTCAAAAGGTTAAATACCTTGCTCACGATCAATTGGTACATGTAAAGTTATTTTTTGTTAGATACGTAACATGTGCTAGGAATTGTGTCACATTCTTTATATATTTTATCTCATTGAATCCTATTAACAATCCTATGAGGTACGTACTGTTGTTTTCATGTTACAGAAAACTGAGGCTTAAAGAGATTGCCCAATGTCACGTAGATGGTAAGTGGCAGATTAGCAGAGCTGGGATTCAGAACAAGATCTTTCATAGTTCTAAATCTGCTGTTCTTTCTGTTCCCTTATTCTGCCTTCCATGAGCCACTTATTTTAGCTTGCTAAATCTCTGTTTCCACATCAGAGAATACAGATGTATTAAACCAAATAATGTGCTCTGTAGAATAAAGCACTATACAAGATCTAACATACTATTACAGTTCTTGGTATGTCTGGTCCTAATTTAATTTCTGGAAGGGAGAGCTGTGAAGATTTTACCTATAAGGGCATAGTTATTGTAGGTTTTTTTGTTTTTAACCCATAAAGCTTGCTTTGATTTTAAAAAGACTCAGTAATTTATGCTGTGAGAGTTTTACCATACTGCCCTCAGAGTATCTCTAAATTTCAGAGAACCAGTGTCTGTCATTTGAGCAGGCTATGTCAGTATGGAAATTCCTCCATTTTGTAATGTAAGCTTGAGTTACAGATTACCTCATGTAAATGTTTTAAATATAGATATTATAATATAAATATAGGTAAACAGAAATTTATTTTCTAGGGCTAAGTTTTAATGAGTTTATGTAGGCTCTTTATTATCATGACATACTTATGTTAATCTCAGTAAGAGTTACACTTTGATAAATCCCCCTGTGGAAAAGTTAAAAAAAAAAAAAGTGTGCAACTAGCAAGTGCATATTTCTCTGAGTAGAAATGGAGAGCTGATCACATTTGTCCTGTCTGCCTAAGTCCCATGATTCTTTGCACAAATAGTCAGAATGAGTGAGAAATGAAGTCTAAACATGATTTACTTTTCCCTCTTTTTTTTCACTTGGACAGTTTAATTTTAACGTACAAGACAAAGAAATTTCTGACTCCAAAACTTTTAGTCTTTTCTCTAGAATTAAATTATAGTAAAATGGAACCATATTTTGAAGAATTAATCAATTTAGCCATGTATTTTACCCATTAAAACTGTGTAGCTTTTCCTTCATATACTTTGGTAAATAAAGAAGAATGTAATCATTTAGAATGTGGTCTTTATTTGCCAATAACATTCAAAACATTGATTATTTTTTAAGTAATGTTTTCAACACTTTAGGGAATATAAGAACCAGAGAAAGATTCTCACTTATGAATGTCCCTCTAGTACACAACAAGCTTTTAAAATATATATATTGAAATTTATTATGTGGGATTTTTTTATGTTTCACTTTATTTTGTAACATAAACAATACCTATTTGTTTCTCTTTAAATTGGGTAAGCCTGGTTCAGTTTGGAAGAATGGATTGCTTTCAATTTGGAGATGGCGATAAATTATGTCTAAATTCTTGAATTTGCTGGTTTAATTTTATCCACTATGCAGTGAAAACAACTGCTTTTGAAATCACAGTATTATGCTAAATCTTGGCTTATACTCTGGGAAGATGAGTGATGGAGAATCATAAAGGGTAGATCCTGCCAGGCTCCTTTAGTGTATGTTATACTGGATGTGTCCATGTAATTCCTGTTTGCTGTGAATGGGTTGACCTGGGGTTGTGTCATCGCTTCCTTTTTTCTAGACTTTCATTCACTTTTCTAAGCCTTTATCTCTTCCTTTTTTTTTTTTCCACATATTCATGTGTTTTACCCCTTGCATCCTTTGCCCCACAAATTTTGTGCCTTCTTTTTGTTGAAAGCGTACCACTGATGACTTTTTTCAAGCCAGATTGCTTTTGTTCTCAATGCCAGATACTCTGAAATTTCCTCTCATTCCTTACCTTGCTCAATCAAAAATCATTTCTTTAGTTCTGCTTGTAGGAGAAAACAACTTAAGATGTAATTTAATAGTATATATGATTGGGATTGTGCCACTTGGGTATAAGCACAGATGATACGTAACTCAATGTGAGTTTTTGAAGTTAGTAGTATGTTTATTTATCAAACATCTGAGTATCTTTTGTTAAGGAGGAAGGTCCTGGATTGAAACAATTACTCAATTTTCCAGAACACAAAGGTGACTGTTTTCCTCAGGCAAGAGAAAAGATTAAAATCACTACTGTTTTTTTCTCCCTCCCTTCCCAGAAACATTTGCTTCAGTGATGTAAAAGTACATCAATTTGCCATTCACAGGAGCTGTTTACAATTTATGTCTAATTACCATGCAGCACATTGATAATGCATAGCATTAAATATGTATCATCAGATTAACTTTGTTGTATGCTCTATTTGATTACAGTGCTAAATTCCATCCATGCATAATCATAGTGTATTGCTCACAGGAGATGTTTGTTTCCTCATAACAACAAAAACAACAAAAAAACAATTAAGGACACACTGCTTCCCAGAGAGTTAACACTAGCATTATCTCTCCAGTATAGGTCAATAGGCTTTTTCCAACTAGACAACTAATATATTTTAGTTATTTAGCAGGATGAATATGTTATTTTAAAAACACTATATATATAATTTAATCAGTAAGAACAAGCCCAAATTTTCAGGTTATCAATAAAAATACTAATGTTTCCCTTATTTCAAAATATATAAATTTAAGCTAGAAACTGACCTCATTGTGTGGAAGATGTTGAGATGTCTAAAATACAGGAACACATGGAAACATTTTAAAAAGACACCATATTCTGAGCTTGTTGAGGAGCTTTTAATATGTATAATTATGAGTTAGTTCCAAATAATGTGAGCTAAATTTAGTTGATTCTTAGAGTTATTATTTCAGCTTTGAAAGTCTATATCAGTATAATTTAAATTTGATCTACTGAGAAAAAAATCTAAACCAATGTTTTCAGGATATCAGGGGTAAAAATCAAATATTTGTAGGCCTACTTACATATAGAACATTGACAAAGAAATGAAACTAGCACTTGCAAAAAATTGATTTAAATGTTAAGGGAAAAATAAAAGTGTGTTTTACTTGAGAACATTAGTGTGTGTAAATGATTCTTAAATGCTGAGGAAATTGTGTTGCTAGGGAGATTATGGTCATGTTCACAAAACATGTATAGAAAAAAAGGATGATTAACATAGAAGGAAATATAACTGCAGCATAATTCACAAAGATATGTATTGAGCAGAGGTTTTTAACCAGTGGTTCAAAGCCCCACTTTGGGGATTAATAGAGACAATTCAGGGGCTTCTGAACTTAGATATGAAAAATGCTGTATCTTTAGTTTTTAAACTTTAACCTAACATTTAATATTTCCTTTGATTAACAGTGTAGGTAACAGACCAAAGTAGTATTAATAGCACCTCTAACTTTCCACTAATAGAAATAATAAATATTTTCATATCACATTAAATTTGAGGCAGGTATCTTGAAATATTATTTGAAGTCATTAATACTTCAAGATTATACTAGTTATTAAAGCTATCACTAGATCTTATTTTGTAATGCTTTAATCAAGATGCATATCTATTATTATATCACAATTTATTTTTTAAATATATTAACTATTTTAATATAATCTGTTTCTTTTATATTCCTCTGTGTTTTATTTTATTGTGAGAAAAGGATCCATAAACTGGTGTTAAAGGTTTCAAGGCACAAAGACCAGAAACTAGTACAGAAAAGTCTCCCAATCAAGTTGACTGACATAAGTTGTTCTCAGCTTCAGTCTCCCTAGCCACTATCTATAGAGAACACACCACTGTGAAAATCCCAGACCCAGGGATGATGTTAATACACCCTCCTAGTCCACAGAGACCAAGAAGGACCACATTAGAAGGGTAAGAAAACAGCTGTGGTCTGACCATATTGTCCTTCCCCAGATCAGCATAGCACTGCACTGAGAGGGCCCCTGTGGGCCTACAGTTTCTCTAGTGGAAGAAGAGAACCCTCCGTGGACATCTAGCTCCCCCAGCATTGTGGGATGCTTCCCAGAAGGCCCACTCAGGTGTCACCTTATAGAGATCACTGGGGTAATCTGTGTGTGGCGGGGGGGATCAGATAGAGATGGAGAATGGGTATGGGGCTTATACCAACCAGCCTTCAGATCTTGACAGACTACATTCCTACTTGTAAGCAATACCCGGGTAGAGAGCCCAGCCTAGTGTTTCTGACCATCTTTAGAGCCAAATTTGTGGCCCCATCTGTCCAGAGAGTTCGACTGGCAGTTCTGCCTGATTTGGTTCTCTAGTCAACAGGCTACATCAGCCACGGAGCCTATTCTACTGCCCTGCTTGGACAGGGAAGCAAATTTACAGCCATGTACAAAGTGCTGAGCATAGTCTCCAGTTTTATCTGTCCAAGAAGCCTGGCCAGAGAACCCAGGTAGCTGTGGAGCCCATTATATACCTCTGCCTGGGCAGGGAGCCAAGCAACATCCCTGCCCAGCCGTTGAGCATACACTCTGGCCCTGTTTATCCAGGTAGCCTGAAGAGTCACCATGGGAAGGCTTGGAGCCCAACCTACAGTAACACCAAGCCACAGAGTCCAGCCTGTAGCCCCACCCAGCAGTGGAGTACAGCCTATGACCCTGTCTAATGCTGAACACAGCCTGTGGCCTGACCGAGGCAGGGATCCCAGCC